ACATATACATTTATATATATATATTGTGATATATATATATATATATATTTAGTTCGTTAGTTAGTTAGTTAGTTAGTTTGTTTATTTGTTTGTTTGTTTGTTAGTTTGATATTCGTTCTTCTGCTCAGCATTGACGGTCATTGAAAAATGGTTACACTAGGTAATTAGCATATTGCTGCTTCATTGCACGCACAAATAAACTTAGTTAATCTACTTATTGCTAAAATATACTTGGTATCTTCAAAAGTAGGCATGCACGCGTATTTGCGATTAGATTTGCACACGCACAGTCCCTAGCTTGTGCCTCTTTTTTACGTATCCCTGCCCCTGTTGTCACTCACAACAACTAAACTAGGCCATTACGTACCACTCGTATATATATATAACGCAGGCGGCATATCTTTTGGTGCCGACATTTAAGACTCTGTTGGAAACAATCGGGAAGAAGCATCCAACCGCAGCTGAACTGTGTGCACGCATGTGGCGTATGGACATCACATACGAGTACTTTTGTGACTCGCTCGTGCAGCTCAATGTATTGAGTCCGGAGGCTGTGGGGGCGTTTAAGGACAAGTATAGAGACTTGCACTCGATGGTGGCAATGGTTCATGCTTTCCAGAAGAAATCAAGGGTATGCTGTATGCTTACTTATTGATAGAAAAAGATAAAATTGGTATATATATATATATATATGTGTGTGTGTGTGTGTGCGTCTGTGTGTCGTATGTTGAGGTAGTGATACAATGCTATAAACTCGGTGGTGGATGAAGTGCACACCCTTCAAGAAAACCCAATTGGTGCGTGCTATCTTGTTCGGACATGTGCTTGTCTTATCGATGCTGTGTCTAACTTCATTGAACCCAGTATCAACCTTTAGTCTTTTAGGATACCAATTGACGTCGTAATCATCTACATTTATTTACAAGGCTATCTCGCATTTATGTCTGTACTATCAGGCAGTAGTATATAGATATGCTTTATGTCAACCCTGTTGTCAACACGGGCCTTCACGGCGACGGAATGATGAAGCGCTGTGGTAACGAAATATTTTCTTTGTACCACTGCTCTCCGGAGGAAACTCTGTAGATTAACGTATGTGTATTTCATATAAACATCAAATTGACTGAAATCTCAAGTGGAATGATATGAGCCTCACATCGAATTCTCTTGCCGCGTGCGTATGTTGTTATATCAAATCACTGGTTATGTTTTACTAACGTCCTGGTTAAATACATCTACTATGGCGAGATAGGAATCTGCATCTCAAGGGGCACAGGGAACAGAGCAGGCAACAGCCAATGGCTACTCACAACAGACACAGATCCCTCTCAACCAGACCCACATGCAAGCACCTGCCCAGCAGGTATCAATATATGTTTTGTTCATGTCGTACATGTATGTACACGGATAATTGTGTATATGGATTAGGATTATATTTTTATTATATAATGGTTATTGAAGATGTTTACGTATGGAGGTATTCTCATAACAGACACAGATCCCATTCGACTAGATGCACATGTAAGCACCCGCCCAGCAGGTACTTGCATATGTGAGTGTATGTGTGTATGTATGAGTTGTAATTGTTTGTGTAGGGAGTCTTATTGTGTATACCGATTATATTCATGTGAATGTGGGTTGCAATCGAGTATATGTGGAGTCTTGTTGCGTGTATATGGATCACAACAGTGTATATATGGAATATAGTTAAGTGTATATGAATTGTACATTTTCACACACAGATGTCACTCTGTACCGACACAACTACAAATGGGTGTACGAATGTGTGGAGTATAAGTCTGTAAGCTTCGATACAGTACTGCGGCTGCTTGTAGCATATAAGTATGTATGGAGTCATACTTTCTTATGGCACTTTCTACACGTATATATTGGTACGCAACCATTATATTGCTAGTCAGTCTTATAGTCTCATGTTGATATCTCATACACATTCTGTACACGTATGTCGATTATGCCTATTAAATCCGCACAAATGTATGACTGATATATATGTCCTAGAGAGACATGATTCAAAGCACATTCATGTTCAGGATATCGGTATACGTAGTATAATTTTTAAGGCGTGGTGTTATTCTGTTGTGTTCATCTCAAGTCTGTTCGTCAGGATCACGCAACAGGGTATATACCACTCTAATGTATTTACATACATATTAATCATGCACATATATAGGGTCGTGTCAAGTTACATATGAATAGCGCCAACATCAATATGCTTTCCCGTGTCTCATAGTTTTTATATTTATCTCCATATCGAAATTATGCAAACTCACAAGCATATTGTACTGGTACATTTACACACGGATTAGCGATGTATTTCATAACCTTCATCATTAAAAGAGACATGGGAAAATATACATAGATATTGAATGCAATGAAATTCCGTATGAGCCATATTTATGGGACAACATTTGTATACATTTTCATTATGTATATCTAGATATATATATATATATATATGTGTGTGTGTGTGTGTGTGTGTGTGTGTGTATGTATGTATGTATGTATGT